ATTTTAAATTGAATGAAACAAAGAAGAGAGTCATTCCACTTCTTGCAGTTCATCATCGTCCTGTTTCGGTCGCGGCGTTTTGAGGCACAGGGTGTCAATGGCAGAGCATGTCGCCATTCTGAAATCCAATGACACAGGAATTGATTTAATTTATAAAGCATTTTCATCAAGGGAATGGTTATTTATAGAAAAGCCACGACTCATATAGGGAGGTCTGCCACTGTAATTTTAAACCAATCTAGTTTTCATCAGAATCGCAGGACGTAAAAAAGAAAACATTTCACAAATGCAGTTTCATAATTTCAACTCACGTGACTTCAGTCAGAGCAGCAGTGACGCAGTCGGCAACGCAGGCAGCTTCTTCAATAGCTGGCAGGTCCATGACTAATTTCACTGCTTGTTTGAGTGGACCAGTTCCATCCAGTTTGGCTGCGATTTCATTTCGTTTCATCTGAACTTGCATTATTTTGTGGCCCAGGTTTTTGTATTCGTCCACCAGGCTTTTGAGGGTCTTGTCCTGTGTCAGCACTCTGCAAACTTCGTCCTGACAAGCTTTTTCTATTGCTTCAGGACGCGCAGCGTCAGTTTCGGGAGGAGGGTTTGAAGCTCCTTGCTCTGACGAAGTTAGCATAAAATTATTAATTTGAGGTTCTGAACATTTCATTTAAAAATACAGTCCGTACTACACTATTTTAAATACTTTTTTGGATGATTCAGTTGTAGTTCTGTTTGATGTCACACAAGAAATTAAAGAGTGTTGGTCAATACTCCTCTTGAGCTTTTATTTCGGGGTAAAAATATGAGTCTCGTTTAATAAGAAGTCTTCCATCTTTTAAAGTTAAAATATATTTTTAAAAAACGGAAGATTAGAACTTCAATAGATTTTATCAGTTCATTTCACTATGTCACAATTTACATGCAAAATACATTTGAATCTTTTTACAAGGAATTTCATATTAAACAATTATTGCTTACAACAAATTTGTTCTTCAGGTCCCTGCAGGTGCCCAAGAACTATAATGTTACTTTAATTGCTCAACACATGAGTCATTACAACACAACTTTTTTCAAGGTCTCAACAGCTTCATTGTAACTATTTTAGAGTACTGTAAAAGATTAATGGTTTTTTTGTTCATAACTGAGGGGAAAAAAGGGTGCTGAACTTCAACAGCGAGTGTCTATTTTTCAAGTTTTTGAAGTTTAGGTGATGTACATTACATATTTGATAATAATGCTGGGAAAGCCAACTTTATCAACATCAAAAATTTCCATAGTGGAAATGAATTGAAATTAGTCAAAATCAGGATTAAATCATGTCTAAATTTAAATTTGGGTGTTCTTATTTTATAGGTACACTAGTGTAGCTTCGAAGTCACAAAAAATGGGACTGAAAAACCCTGCTGGTTAGCGCTGGTGTACTTGAGTAAATGCGGGGGTATTTATTTTTGGATAATTTTCCTGAGAACACGTCGTGCCTGCTTTTGCAGTCGAGTTGCCTCCGTTGTTCCGCTCTGCATTGGCTCTCATCTCATTCTCCAGCAACTGCTCAATTTCCCTGGCCTGTTCTGAATCAGACACACTGCGGTCTTCTTGCTGATGCTGAGCCGCCTCCTGTTGAGATGTTTCCGACGAGATCCCGTCGTGGGCCACGTCGTCGGAAGTGCTTTCAGGCGGCGGCGGCGGTGATGGTGGTGGTGGTGGTGAAGGGACAGAACGTTTCTTCAGGTTGCTTTGACGGGGTTTGTCCGCCAGGACGCTGTCCAGGTCCTCGGAGCCTCTCTTGAGAATGCTGTGGACTGAGTCGCTCATCAGGTTCTTCTTGGCGTTGTATTCGGATGCGGGCAAGCTGAAGTGGACAGTTTCATGATTATTGGTGAAGGTGCGCGTTGTTGGGCTGCAGCTGATGCCGGATGATTCCTGGAT